CATGGATCCTAGATTCTATAGATTCTTGGTTCCTTAGATCCTAGGTGCAATGGATTCTGGATTCTATAGATCCTTGGATCTATAGATCTATAGATCCTTGGATCCTTGGATCTATAGATACTAGGTGCCAGGAATCCTAGATTCTATAGATCCTTGGTTCCTTAGATCCTAGATTCTATAGATCCTTGGATCTATAGATCCTAGGTGCAATGGATCCTAGATTCTATAGATCCTAGGTGCAATGGATCCTCGATTCTATAGATCCTAGATGCCATAGATCCTAAGTGCCATGGATCCTAGATTCTATAGATCGTTGGTTCCATAGATCCTAGGTGTCATGGATCCTAGATTCTATAGATTCCAAGTGCCATGGATCGTAGATTCTATAGATCCTAGGTGCCATGGATCCCAGATTCTATAGATCCCACGTGATGTCTAGGCGTTCCATAATCTCCATTTACCTAACGCTCCTAAGCGATAGTTGATAGTGACCAAGACGATGTCCTGGTCCATGAGATACTGAGGTCCAAACAAGCTACTCTTTCCTGAGAAGGAATAAAATCCTCCTGGGTGCAGGAACACTATCACCGGTCTCGATACGTTCGATTCTCCGGAAGGCAACTGCAATCGCACACTCAATTGTACAAAGTAAACAAACTTGTCTCTCCCACTCTGTACATCATTACAGTATTTGCGACTCGGTTCCTTACTTCAGTGGTGTACACGTTTAAACGTAGACAGTCCTCCGACATGGTCGTGCTGCGAGGTTGAGGACACTCTGGCCCTTCCTCGCTCGCATCGAAGACGTCCTTCCAATCCTCCGCTGGGATCGGCGGCTGTGAATCACGCAGAACCGTTCTCACTTGCGAGGAAATAAAAAAAAAAAAACATGCCTAGCGAACCAATGTCATTCTCAAAAATTCGCAACTCTCGACAGCAAAGCGTTGATTCCAAAAAATCCGACGGCAAAATAAACCCGAAACACGTTTCTACGGGGCATTAATTTCTTCTAAGATTTGTCATACTTGAAAACGTTGTTGTCCAGTAGGAGGTTCGGCGTACCTCACGCCACGAAAGGAATAGATATCTCTGCCAAGCCTGGAGGTCGAGATGGAACCCTTTATAGGTCCGATTGGTGCCGTTACTAACAGCTGCCGTTCAGAAGGAGACGCTTCGGTGGTTAGGATGCCAACCAAGCAGCAAAGTATCGCTATAACAGTCGTCATCGTTCTGCTTGGAGATCTTGTTAATCTTCCGGGTGGAAATGTCGATTCGTAAACCTGGCTCTGATTTAATTAAAGCGACTCGCTCGGTGCTCGCGCGAGGACTGAGTGTCCGAAGGACTGGACGCGATAATTTATATCGTGGCTACGAGGAAAACGAGTGGGGAAATCCAACTGTTGGCATGGAAAGAATGCTTTGTAAATGTTTCGAGGAAGGTCGCTCTATTTCAATTGTCACGCACGTACCAAGAGTTTTATGGGCGTGCAATTATTAGTCGGTGTTTTAATTAACGAAAACAGTTGAAAGAACAGTTGAGAGGAATTCGGTTCTCGTTAAGCAAACGATAGAGAGGCAACTCGCAGCTGACGATACAACCTGTTTGCGATGGTATAAATATACCATGAACACGTGGATTTTAAAATGTCATCGTGCAGAAAAATAAGCTTTGGGTACTTGATCTTTTATACACTGATTTACTGCATCTGATAATCCCAGGCTTTCAATGGAAGATAACGTTACGTTCTCTGTCCAATTTTTCATTTTCCAAGTTATTCATCATTTTCACGTTTTCTATGAACTAGATACTACGAATTTCCTTCTGCTATTTTCGTACTTGCTAGTATCGTACATTTTATGTAGAAATAATTCTTCTGTTCAAAGTGGGTACACATAATTTTCACACTTTTCACACTTTTCTTGAATTTAGTAACGTTTTCATAGAATACATTGTCTAATTATTAATAGTCGTCTACTCTGTACTTTTATTTATAGCCTGTGCAATCAGGAATATTTAGACGCTTGAACGGTCTTATTAAGATTAAGAAATTCTTAATAAGAATCTTGCTTAATAAGAGTCATAACTGTGCCACGAGAATCGCAACCTCGAGGAGCACGAACCCCAAGCGAATGATAAGGAGCGCAAACAGTCATGCTGGGAGACGACATTTTTATTGGTATATTATCGGACACATGTGGTTCGGGTTAGGTCAAGTTCGCGCAAACAGCTGATCGTTAATCAGACCGTGTAACCGTGGATCGATATGAACAATTTCCTTGAAACTCTTGAAGGAATGCGTGGAGGAAGTGATCCAAAGATCACTTTCACTTTAGTACTTGCTATTATTATATACAATGGAAAGAAATATTGAATGGAACGATAACGACCAGTTTTAGTTTTCCACATTTGCTAAGAAATACCGTTTCGCGATCCAGTGATGATTACAGTAGCCCATGGCGAAAGTCGCTGGTTAAAGGTACAATTACATTAATCAATGAATTAATTAATAGCAATTAATAGTGTACTGGCAATTAATAGCAATTAATAGTAATTAATTAGTAGCATCCTTGGTTCTATAGATCCTAAGTGCCATGGATCCTAGATTCTATAGATTCTAGATTCTATAGATCCTTGGATCTATAGATCCTAGGTGCCATGGATCCTAGATTCTATAGATACTTGGTTCCTTACATCCTAGGTGCAATGGATCCTAGATTCTATAGATTCTAGATTCTATAGATCCTTGGATCTATAGATCCTTGGATCTATAGATCCTAGGTGCCATGGATCCTAGATTCTATAGATC